TAGACTAGTACAAATACATATACAAATTTGTTTTTCTTATGAATATTAAAAAATATATTGTCAGCTATTATATTTTTACTTCCTACGAGTTATGATTCCGTATGGAGTTAAAATATTGTTTTAGTTTATGCCGAGACATTGAAAAGTCAATGGTTTCGCAGTATTGATTGTAAGACGCCATCATGCGATTTAATGGCCCAAATTTTGCATAATTTGTGCGATGATGGGTTACGGCAAATAAATTTCGATTTCTGAGTTGTCGAGTAGGTACATAAAAATTTAATTTTGATAAAAGTTCTGCTGAGTTAATGCGCTGCGAAACGATATCGTTTACAAACGAAACCATTGCATATTCACGACGCTCTTTTAATGTTTGTATGTTTATAAGCATGCAGCGTGCTTCATATGATGGAAGAGGAAATGATGTCCAACCTAATTTACGAAGGGCATATAATAGAAATTGCTTTTGTACTGATTCTAATCTTTCTTCGTGCGTGATTGAAAATGGAGACCATACAATGCTGCAATATTCCAGTATTGACCTCACATAGGCAATATATAGTGTTTTAATTGTGTAAGGGTCCTGAAAGTTATAGCAAAAGCGCTTGATAAAGCCTAGCATGTTATTTGCCCTGTGAATAATTGTATTGTAATGGTCTATGAAAGTTAGCTTAGAGTCTAAGATAATCCCTAAATCCCTGACTCTTTCACATTTTTCTACATTCTGATTTCCTAATGCAATTGAAATGTTTGATGGTGTTCTTTTTCTGCTAAATGATATTAAGTTGCATTTTTTTACATTCAGTTCTAATAGGCTTTTTTTACACCATGTGTAGAATATGTGTATTTCACTCTGGAATATATTGATGTCTTCATCATTTTTTATTTCCAAAAAGAGCTTCATGTCGTCGGCATAGATTAGCAATTTTATTTTTTTGAGAATGAAGGAAATGTCGTTTACGTACAGAATAAAAAGAAGAGGTCCCAGATGAGAGCCTTGCGGGACTCCTGAGGTGACTTGAATTGGGGTCGATTTCTTTCCGTTGAATTTAATTATTTGTTGGCGGTTAGTTAAATATGATTCAAGCCATTTCAGGAGTCCTGGCTCAATTCCAATTTTTTTCAATTTGAAAAGAAGCATTGGTATGTCAATTCGGTCAAATGCCTTGCTAAAGTCTGTATAGAGAGCTTCTACGTGGTTTCCATTATCCATTGCATTTAATGAATAGTCTATAAATTCAAGTAAATTTGTCAAGGTCGAACGTCCTTTAAAGAAGCCGTGTTGCATGTCAGTAATTCTATTTTTGGTTTGAAGAAATAATTTTTCATTTACAATTGCCTCGAAAAGCTTTGGAATGCAAGAGATAATGGCTATTGCACGATAATTACGTACGTCAGATTTTCGGCCAGATTTAAAAATAGGTACTAAAAATGAGCTTTTCCATATTTTTGGGAAGGTTCCGGATTCCAGTGACATATTAAAAAGCCAAAACAATGGAGCAGTGAGTTCCATTGCTAGACTTTTTAAAAATACTGGAGGAATTCCGTCAGGTCCAGGACCTTTTGAGGCGTCTAAATTCTTTAAAGCCTGCAAAATATCCTGCACTTGAAGTTGATTGACGCCAATGTCCCTTGAAAATTCTGGATGAAATGCAAAATAATCGCGGTCGCGATCTTCATCGGAAAATGTCGCATAGATTTCTTGAGAAAAAATTGCAAAAAGCTTACAATTTTTTTCCGAGCTATCCCCGACACGTTCGTCAAGATGCATTATTGATGGAAAATTGTCAGATTTTAATTTGGTTTTTACGTAATTAAAGAAAGTAAAGCCGTTGGTCCCCGGTTCATGAGTTGATGGGTCGATAGGTAGGGTCCAGGTGTGGGAGCTGCCTCCCTGGCGTCGATGGCATTGGTGCTCAGCACGGAAAACAAGATCGACGGAAAACAAATCAAGGAAAAAAAGGACTCTTTTTGCAATATACGGCTGATACACGGCCATGCTTGGCATGCACAGTTGTACACACCAACTGCTCATTTTTTAATAACTTTTCGTTCAGTTGTTGACATTTGTTTTTCTATAAAGTAATTGATAGATTAGGATCATAGCTTACTAAAGATATGCAAAGAGTAGGCAAATCTTAACAATTGAATCAACTTCAATGAATTTTTACACTAAAGTCCGAGATATGCAGTGAGCATTTCTCACTTGATTTTTACAACACAAAAACAAATACAGTTTATTACTGGAATTAAATCTACTTTTTCTTACAAACCTATAAAAAGCTTAAACTTTATTCTATCTACTGCTTTAAACAGAACTATGTTTTGTCAACTGTGTGCAAAGTTATTAGCTTTGAATTTTTATATCGGCCTTATATCAACATTATATTACACATTGCACAGTGAATAAGTGGGCTTGATGGTTACTTGGGTGCTACAGTATTAAACGTGTAGGTTGAATCACATTACAGTTGTCCGTTATCAATACGTTTGTGCAATGTTTCCAACAACAGCACTTCCATTGCATCATAGACAGGATAATGACCTTTAACGATTTTGCCACACATGATAGCATTTGAACCACTAGACTGAAGATTACCTCAACTTAGTGTTCTTCATAGTCATTAATTTAGAGATTACAACCCGCATGATTTCCTAGACCGGACTGGAAATCGAACATGACACCTATTGCTTGAGAATATGTACCGTAAGACGGGGTTACATTGGCCCTAGGGGCTGACATTGGGCCAAAGTTAACAAACGTCTATTTATGCAAATATCATGAATATACAAAAATTGATGTCTAGCACATGTTTCTCGAGATCCTCTAATAAAGTGTACAAAACATTATCCAGTGGTTTTATTTAAATAGTGCTGTAAAGTTAAGTGTCATAAATAGTCGCAAAAACACAATTTTTAAAAATGTCCAAAAGCAAACTAAATTTTGAACACCCTTTATATGGATAGCCGATGGTTATAAAAGCTATATACAAAGTACATTGTAATAATAACCAAGTGTACTCCTAATAGCTACGTTACATTTCCATATTTTTTATATATTTTAAACAAATTTATGTTTTGGCGCAATGTCACCCCCTTTAAGGTTTTACATTGGGATTTTTCCTTATAAGAGAGTTGTATAGATTTTTCTCTTTTACTTTTCTTTACTTTACTTTGCTTTACTTTACTTTACTTTACTTTACTTTACTTTACTTTACTTTACTTTACTTTACTTTACTTTACTTTACTTTACTTTACTTTACTTTACTTTACTTTACTTTACTTTACTTTACTTTACTTTACTTTACTTTACTTTAGTTTACTTTACTTTACTTTACTTTAGTTTACTTTACTTTACTTTACTTTACTTTACTTTACTTTACTTTACTTTACTTTACTTTACTTTACTTTACTTTACTTTACTTTACTTTACTTTACTTTACTTTACTTTACTTTACTTTACTTTACTTTACTTTACTTTACTTTACTTTACTTTACTTTACTTTACTTTACTTTACTTTACTTTACTTAACTTTACTTTACTTTACTTTACTTTACTTTACTTTACTTTACTTTACTTTACTTTACTTTACTTTACTTTACTTTACTTAAATCTTTGGGTTTTGTTAGTTAGGTAGGTTCCGATTCTACACATTGTAGTTTCATTTTTATGTCTGTGATCTTGACATCTTACCTAGGAGATGAGTACTTAAGGGGGTTAAATTTTGATAATCCTTCAGTGGGAATGACACTGATAAAGACTGCACATTGTAGTCGAAACACGTGTCTGTCATAGATACCAAAATTAATGAAGTGGAACTAAATGGAAAATAACCTTTTTTGCTGTTCTACATTGGCCTATTTTTTTAATTTAATTTTAGTAAAACGAGAAAACAATTTCAATCAAGCATTTCCTTGTGAAGGTTGTCAGAAAGAGAACTAAAAAATTTGATTTTTTGGCCCAATGTCACCCCCACTTACGGTATCGTGCATTAGTCGACTAGGCTAACTGAAGCCTCTAAAAAGTCAATGACGCTCCTTAAATGGCTCGGCTACAATGCAAGACCATGCCGGAGATGGCTGGGTTCGATTCCCGGTTTGGTCTACGAATTTTACGGATTGTAAAATTTGTGGACTACCCTGGGCATAAGGTATGATTGTACTTTCCACACAATATTAGTGCAAAAATAGTACTGACTTCTTCGTAAGATCTGTGGAACTGTGGAACTGCTCAAAGAACTTTTGAAAACTTGTATACCATCACTAACTTTGCATTAGATTTTACCACCTTTGAGTTACTAATCCATTTTCAAGGACATGTGTCAAAATGAAGCACCCCGTTTCAAAAGATTAGCAAAAGTAATGATCGCTATCAAATTTGTAACTCCGATTTAGCTGCCATTTTCTCTAAAATTCATGAGCTTATATTGCACTGAATCATTTTCAAATGACATGCCACAGGCACATTTTACATTCCTGCACATAATTCAATCAATATCCCTCGCTACCCACGGCTGTGCCTTAAACCAGAAACCATTTACAACCTTCAATAGCCCCCTCGGGATGCTATTCCAACGGTCCATTCGCCCTTCGATATGATATCAAGCTCCATGCCACTGGAAATGCTATGAATATTCAACGAATCTATTATAAAGCACAATAAATCATACTATTTTTCCGTCGTCTTTCCCTTCACTTTCAGAATTACGCTCGCCTGAATCCTACTGGGAACCAACCAACCAACCATCCAACTAGAGCACCAAACTAAGTCGTCGTCGTTGTCGTTTTCTGATGGAATCTCGCGTGTTCCGGATGTTGATGCAAACCAAGTGAACCAGAAACCAAAACAACTCGTCTGCCGCTGCTGCTGCTGCTGCACTGAGCATCACTGCAGGAGGACCATGTATAGTGGTCGCCACCCCGGGGAGAAATGAAGAGTACTAATTTCAAAGAGTGGCCAGCCCTCCCGCTGAGACATTCGGACTCGAAGCAGCAGAAGAAGCACAAAAACACCAACACCCAAGTGTGTCCCTCTTCAGCCGCTGCAGGAAGCAGTTTTCCGCTTCGGTAGGAAAAATCGACATTAGACAGTCGGAGATGGGAGGCGAAGAAAGGGAATGCCAACAAAAGGGAGCTAGAGTTTGTTAGTTTTTGCCATTTAGGGAAAATCCCTGCGGGAGAGGAGTCCTCTTCCTTTCCTTGTGTGTCGAAAAACGTGAAGAAGCGAAAAATCCTAGAACAAGCAACGAGAAGATGTGAAATAAAATAATAGTCAAAAAGTAGTTCGACAAATAACACTCCTTAGGGGGAATATGAGCTGGAACAGAACCAGAACTAGAACGACGGCATCGGCGATCGGGGGAAGTGGTAATGTGCAGGAATGCGACAACTCAGCGTCGGTGACTCGTGGGAAAAGGATTGTGAGTTGATTGCGAAGCAACCCGTAACGATGTACGGATGCAAATAAAAGTCTGAGCGGGGGGAAGAACGGTTAAATTTTATATGTTGTCCGGCGTAGCAGAAATAGAGCAGTCATATTCGGTGCCATTTTTCGGTGGTTGAATTCAATTGTGAACGTGCAAAGGAAATCCAAACGACTGGACACAATCGGTGAATTGTTGGTGGAGGAGATTTTTTTTTTTTGTTCGGGCTTCAAATAGACCACCGAAGGCGTAAATAGCGAAAAGCGCCTTTGTATTTTACGGTTTGTGGAATTCAATAAAATACGGGCAAAACGGGCGATAGGGAAATCGGCTTCCTCGAGCGGGCAGTGGAGAGTCTGGCGAGTAAATAAGCTGCTTGAGAGGAATCGTTTTTTGAATAAATTTCCCTCTATTGTTTCCGATTTTTCACTCGTTGTATCGTCAATTTACTCCGGAGTATTATTCAAGAAAAAAGAAATCATTTTTATTGTCATTAAATAGAAGCACTTATTCGCGATAGGAAAAAAAGAACAGTGATAGCAAAGATGTCACTGTTGGTGATTTTTTTTTTTTTTTTTTTTGAGAATGTTATTGCATCAGTGAATTTGTTCTTTCGGACAATCCAATTCTATAAGAATGCTAACGCATAATGCTGAGTTTTGATCCTATGTCCTTTTTAGAACCAATTTGATAAATTAATAGTCTTAACCTTTTTTTATTCACATAATGCTTTCAGCCCTTTCGATGATTTAGCTAAGAGTTTTTAATAAATTTACAAAATTGATAGAAATTATTTTGATTTTGTTCAATTTAGCCTACCACGAGTATGTTTTATCAAAACCAATATTGTTCAAATATATCACAACATGTAATATATGTTTTCCTTGATTTGTTTTCCGTCGATCTACTTCTTATTCTTCTTCCGACGGACATCGATTGCCATCCATTGACGGCAATCGGATATGCAGGAAGGCAGCTTCCACACCTGCGTAGGATATCGCACCCATTCCAACACACATGGGTCGGGACCAACCAGAGATTTTTATGCCTCAGAAAAATCCCATCGACCTCGACTGGGATTGAACCCAGACCCAGCAGTCACGCTTACCACTACACCACCGGCGCCGGCTCCGTCGATCTTGTTTTCCATACTGAGTACCAACACTGCAGACACCAGGGAGACAGCTCTCAAACCTCAACTCTACCGATCGACCCATCAACTCATGGACCGGGGACCAACAGCTTTAATTTCCCGGCGTGATCAGAGATGTTATGCCTCAGAAAATCCCGACGGCGCCGACTGGGATTGAATCCACGTCCTTTGGCGTGAGAAGCAACCACGCTTACCGCTACACCACCATTTTAAGTATACTTTCAAATTAGGCGTAAAATTTGAAAACGGCACAAAAGCTTTTTTAAACAAAAGTTGTAAGGCCCTTACACGCGAACCGAAGAACGCCATTGCTGATGCAGTTGTACCTAATTTGGCCCTTATTACGGGTGACATTTCACGGGGAAAATGAAGGGAAGTGATGAATTCTCATCCACGCTGAAGTGGTTACTGGGCAAATGGAATAGAAAATCGCTTCACCGTGAGTGACAAGTTATGATTTCACTTCGTTTTCACCGTGATAGGAGCTTTTATTTTGACCATGAGTTGAGTGCAATATCATAATGATAATCGAAAACTCGATAACGTCTTTTCGTATACGCCTGAAATGAAAAATTCGCATAGCAAGCGTTTACGAAAAGATATTATGGAATTTTTGATTGACAACCCTTGTCAGTATCATTCAATCTCACACAAACCAGATTTGTGCATATATATTGTCACTAAAGTTGAAACCGAAAGACCCACTCGTGACAATCGATTTTACTCTCGTTTAAGATAACATCGCATCTAGTGCTAACTATAGCGCATCATTGAACGAATACAGCGCACTAGATGCGACGTTATGTTTAACGTACAGAACGAGAGTAAAATCGATTGTCACGAGTGGGTCATTTCGGTTTCCAAGTCTAGCGACAGTCAATATAATGCAAGACTTAGTTACTATATCTGTTGAATTGTTAACCTTTTCATTCATAAATTGTTTTTAACAACAAGGAATATCTCTGTCATGCTTACTGGGTCAGAGCTAACCGAAATGCTCGTGCTAGAAATATACAGTCTAATACCGTGGGATTCCTCGAGATTGACGAGTATTCACGACAGCAATTACATCTAATCTCTGTATTTTTACTAACTGTCACAACGAAACAAGATGCCGTTTTTCGCCTGGAATCAAGAAGTTTTTGCTAATCCACAATTACTACTAATTTCCAAAAGTGTGCCAGGAACATTTACGAGAAAACGAATGTGAAGAGTTATTGGATTGTCCAAACCTAATCCACCATTTAAACGGCACCCATACAAAAGAAATGCTTGATATTTTTTTGGATTAGATATCGAAAACTTGTTGGAAATTTGTATTTGTATTTGTATTTATATTTAAAATAATTCATCTGACAATTTAGTCTTAATGAATAAATTAGAGCTAATTTAACACAGACCCAATCCGATTTGCAAAACGTTCGGTTGGTTCAATGAACTCGAAAAACTCTTCGACAGCCGTAAACGCACGAATACACGCTGAGATTGGTTCGTTGTTCCCAAACATGGTTCGGTGAATACTTGGTTGCAGTAGCGTTGTATTCCGAAGAGATCTGCTCGGCACACGAAAGTTCAACATCGCAAGCAGGTCGGGGGCATCAGTTTCACCATTCAACAGCTTAGCAATAAGCAACGATTGCTGTACTTTCCGTCGTTGTTCCAGTGTGTCTAAGCCCAACAGTCGGCATCTAACAGGATACGGCGGCAAATTGTCAGGATCACTCCACGGCAAGTTTCTCAGTGCCAGATGAATGAACCGTTTCTGAACCCGTTCGATCCTTAGGTACCACGTGACATGGTGAGGATGCCAAACGACGGACACATTTTCCAAAATTGGACGGACAAGTGCACAGTACAATGACTTCCAACAATGTGGATCCGAAAAATCCTTCGCAACTTTGGAAATAAAGCCCAACTGTCGCGTTGCTTTCGATATGAGCGCTGAACGGTGTAAATCAAAAGTCATTTTTGTGTCTAGTTGAACCCCTAGATCAGTCACACTGGTAACTTTGGTAAGAGTATCGCCGTCGATATGATAGTCAAACAAAATTGGATGTACCATGCGGTGAAAGGGGATTATCTGACATTTTTCCACACTAATAGTCACTTTGTTTCTCTGGCACAAATCGGCAAACAAAGTCAGCGAGTTTTTCAGAAGTCAACAATCTTCTTGTGTGCGCACCACAATGTACAGCTTTAAATCATCTCGCCTCCTTCAGGACGGTATAAATTACATCGACTTGGGCTTTTTCCTACATGCACGTTATGCACTTCGACGTTAAATTCAACAAATTGGTGGTGACCGATCGTCCGGGCATGAATCCGTGTTGATCAGTGGATATGTAGCTTTTTGTGGCATCGAGAATAACTCCACCCACTATAATCTCAAACAATTTTGAGACAGCTGAGAGACTCGTGATTCCCCGATAGTTAACAACATTGTAACGATCACCACGTTTGAAAATGGGTGTCATAAACGATTGCTTCCAAATGCGAGGGAATTTTGCTTGCTGAAGTGGAACATCACTGGAGGCTTCATCGATTTCCAAGTTTGAGGCGGGATTCGTCGCGAATACGGATGCCAAATGCTTGGCAAACAACTGGCATGACTCTGTAGCTGATGCTGCAGTTGTTTCGTTCAGGTAGACATTCGTTGGGATCACTGCACTTTTCCGTTTGGAGTTAACAAAGCGCCAAAAACCACGTGGATTTATTCTCAGACCAATTTGCACACGCAATACGTAAGATTTGTAGAGAGTGGCATTCAAAAACCGGTACGCATTGCTGGCTTGTTGAAAACTTCGTTTGTTGCCAGGCGTTCGTTGACGACGTAGTTTCCGTTGACAAGCATTGCGAGTGCGTTTTAAATTCCGTAAACGGAGAGTACTCCAGGCAGGCGAAACTGACGGCCGAATTCGTGGAACATTCGAAACAAGCCAATCGTTCAAAATGGAACAAAACATTTCCGCCATTTCATCGACATCTATGATAGTAAATATCGCATTCCAGTCAACGTTTAGCAAAAAGTTCGAAAGGGCCGAAAATCAATCATTCGAAAGTTTAGAGGTCGCTCCTCATGTCTTTCAATAGGTTCATCACACACCACAAGCGCTGATAGAGAGATCTCAACCGGAGGGTGGTGAGACATTAGCCTCACAATCAGGCAAACAAAAAACCAGATCGAGAATGCGATCGAGCGGATTGCGCACAAGATTCCTTTGGCCAAGGCACAAATAATCCATACCATCCAAAAGAGTGCTACTGGACAGCGGTAGTGGTGAAGCATCACATTGGATGACGTTGTCAATTGAACACCAGCGCATGCGTGGTTGATGATAATCACCACATACCAGGAGAGCGTCACCAGTCGAATACTTTCCACAAAGCTCATTATCGTTATCATTATCAATGGACGACATTGAACTGTATTATTTAGTAGGATTTGAAAGACAACAGTTCGAACAAATTCTTGAGCAAATTCCGTCCGGTGG